GAGATGTTATATTCCCCGCCTAGTATAGAGGAGGTCGTGAGTTCGATCTGGACTCTGACGCCTGTATATTTGGAGTGTGCATATTCTCCCTATGGTCGAGTGGATATTTTCTCCGGGTCCTCCGGTTTTCCCCTTCACGTTTATAATGAACATGCGTTCAGATTATTTAGAGTATTTGGCTGCTATAAATGTCCATGTGATAAGCCACTTCGTTGAGCTATCGTTTATGGATAGGTCGCTTCTGAAAAATAAGCTAATAGCTCAGTGGACTTTACCTGCGATATTAAAAAATATTAAAAAATACTTTTAAAAAACACGCTTTAATGAAATGTACCGTACGAGTAATGGCAGAACTCCACGACTCCAGGAAGTGGCCCTGAAGCTTGCCACAGCGTAAGGGAGCGTCCCCCCCCCCCGGCCAACTCCGAGCTGCCCCTCCCCGTGCTTCCTTCCCCCATCCCCCGCCCCTCGGCGTGGCTCCCCGAGGCTTGCCGTAGCGTAAAGGACCTTGGTGATTTACAGCCAACTTGAGTTGAGCGTGGACAATTAGACCCGTAACAAATATTACAAATATCAATTTTTTTATGTTTTATGATATAATATAGTATTGTCATCAGTATGACGTAAGTTTACCAAGTTTGCAGTCGATATCACGTTCGGAAGTGGGTAAAATTTGAGTTATAAGATTTTTTGAGGATACGACAACAGACGGAGTTAAATAAAAGCGTGTAATAATAACAATAATAAAATAATAATAAAATAGTTTTTTTTTATATTTGTTTATAAGTGATTTGCTTATCTTTCCCATACTTTGCACTTACAACGTGTTTTTTGTATTGTTTTCTGTTGTAACTATCTGACCCACCTCGACTGGACATCTCAGAAAAAGTGTTGCATAGCTCATCGCATTCCTCCAGTATAAATGCAAATTATGATTCTGCCCGTGGACTCATCACGCTAGACCCCCCCCCGCACCCCCTTGGCTCTGGGTGGACAGAGCGAGGAGAGGTCACAAACTCGCCCGTTTGTTTCAGCTGCCGCACTGGGAGATAGACCCGGCGGCCTGAGGAATTTCACGTCGACTGTGCTGACCATTACCTCGCAGCAGCAGCATCGCGTCTACTGTATATCATTAACAAAATGAAACAATGAATATCATTCACGGAGTCATTTGACAATCCATTGCTGGGCATATAAAATTTGGAAAGAGTATGTTGGCGATGCTGCAGCTGCGTTGGCAGTCGTGCTCAAGGCCAATTAACAACAATAACAACAATCTCAAAACATTCGTCAATAACAAACTCTGTGTGGCCTGTATGCATGCATTCCTTTTAAGGAGGTCTTGTTGACCAATGTGTTGAGTTTTGTTGTCGTTAATCCACGCAGCTCCATCAGTTTTTTTCCCATGCCTCGCCAACGTTGAACAGCGCAGTTGTAACCTGTTTTGTACAAAGACGACAAAAAGGCCATAAAAAAACAAACCACGCTAACCTCTGTGTTTGTTTGGCATGTGTTTCACCATTCCAACAATCCTCAATCTCTCTATGTCTCAATGTCCTTACGTTTGTTTCGGCGTCACACAGAACTGCTTGCTGGAAGGCTTCATCGGCCTTGGCTCAGCGCTCATGACCATCGTCGTCCTCCCGGCAGAGTCGGCGAACCTTCTCAGCAGCATCCTCCTCCTCAACGGTGTCACCCTGGTGCCGAGCGCACTGCAGTTCGCCGGCAGGTGGACGCGAGGCAGGAAGCCGCCTCGGACGTCCAAGCTCTTGAGCCTGGCCTCCCTCTGCTGCTGTCTCGTCGCATTAGCGCTGTCGGTTGCCAAAGCGGCGTTAGTGGCGCCTGACGACGGTTCCACGGAGGCGGGAAGGTTCGCGCACCTGGCGCTGCTGCTGCTGAGCCTGCTGCTCGTGTCCCTGTCGTGGTGGGAGAACTTCCTGCCCGCTGGCTGGCTCCGGGGATTCCGCGACGCCGTCGGCGAATCGCGGAACCTCGCCGAGTTCTACGGCTCGCTCGTGCGCACGCTCATCATCGTGGCGGTCGTGCTGCTGGACGCGGGCGTCGAGGGCGAGTGGAGGAGCTTCAGCGCCATCAGCGGCATCGCGGAACACCGCAAGAGCGTGGCGCTCGCCCTGGCTCTGTTGGGCGTGCAGGCGGGCGCCTCCATCCTCTGCAAGTGGCTCGCGAACGCCGCCTGCAAGATCCGCCAGCAGAGGAGCTGCTTTGCCGCGCCGCTCTGCCTCGCCACGCCCGCCGCCCTAGCAGTCGTCTTCGCCCTCCACCTCGCGCTCGACGCCTCGGGTGACTCTCGCTACGACTGCGAGTCGGTCCGACGGTGGAACGGCTCCGAGCGGACGACGCCCGCAGCTGCCTCACTCTTCTATGACCGCACGGCCGCCACCGTCTGCTCGTTCGTGGGTGCCGGCGAAGACACCGCGGTGGACGCCGTGGCCACGTTCGGCGCCGGGGCGCTGTGGTTCGCGGCGCTGCTGCTGGCCGCGGCACCCGCGTTGCGCCCGGATGGCGCGACGCGCATGGAGCGCACACGCGAGCTCTTCGTGCGCCGCACCCCTCAGCCCGCGTGTCTTGTCGCCGGGCTGCTGCTCAACCGGCGACAGCAGCAGGAGGAGGAGGAGGAGTTGGTGCTGGAGGAGAGGAGGTCCGTGTGTTGGTGTTGGTGCAGTGTATTGTACTTGCGTGTGTGACTATGAGTGTGTGTGTGTATGACTAAGTGTTTCTGTGAGTACGTCATGGCCTCCCCTTGCAAAAAATTAGTAACTGGTATGGTGTGTAAACATCACCACTGGGGAGACAAAGACGGCCGGGCGTGGTGTTGGCCACCCACCCGCTTGTGTGCAGTGCCAGCCTTCATAGGTGCTCGCTATCAGCACGTGCCCCAACAGTTTGTTCAGGCGATACAGGGGAACTTTATTGCTGTATTTACGTGACGAGGTGTATGTGTGACGAGGTGTGTGTTTGTGTGACTGGCCATAAACTCCCTCAAGTCCCGTTTTTGGCTTCATCGGTTCTAGTTGCTAACAGCCCTTGCACCAACAGTCAGGGATCTTTGGGCGATCTTTGTTTTTAGTTTGTGTTAGTCTTGTCGATGCCTTTGTCTATGTTTCGTGTTTTGGGTGTCAGAGGTTAAGTATGATCATTTAATCCAAGCAGGATCTTTTTTTTCTGTATTTATTTCATAATGATGACAATTTGTGACGTTCGCCCTTCGGTTCTACAGACTGAAATATGTCCACTCCCCAATATGCCCAATGCATAAAACAGAGAACCGAGCTCTGCGATTTCCTCTCTCAATCTGAACACGATGTCATGTTCTCATTGTATCTTCTAGCAGCCAAAAGCAAGAGAGGGTGAAGATCTACCTGTGCGCAACCATGTGGCATGAGACCAAGGAGGAGATGACGAAGATCATCTCGTCCATCCTGAGGTGGTATATTCCCTATCCATCAAGCGGCCGGATCACAAGGACCAATGGGGTTCCTTCGCGAATATGCAGATGGGGTGTGGTCACGGCACCGCGCACTTTCAAATGCCCTTCTGTGGCCGTCTGGAACACTCTTCCTTCAGATATTAGGAAGCAACTGGAGCTATGCACTTTTAAATAATCTATATTGACAATTAATTTCTTCAGAATGTATTTTTGTTTTGAGATTGTTGTCCTTCCCCTGCACATTTTATTATCTTGGTTGGGTACGTATGGTGTGAAAGAAGTCCACCACACATACGTACATTCATTTCTGCAGGGCACCACACCAGTCAGGCTACCACGCTACCGCGTCCCTCCCTTCAGCTCAACGAGATTTGAGGATATAAATCTAAACTGCACGTTTAAAGTGTCCTGAAAAAAATAGATTATGATATATGCAGCAATGCCTATGCCGATGAAAAAATGTTAAACAAAATTGAACCACATTACTGTGGCTCGTATTAGGACACTACAGCAATACCATATTACCATGTTGCATATCCGACCGTCATATTTCGACCTTGGATATTTAACCGCCCACACGCAGTGCAGTATTTGTGGGCGGTGTATTTTCATTTTTTATTGGATGCTCATAAATATGACATCTTCACATGGAGCAGGGTGTTCCTAACCTCGAGAACATTTGCCCTCCTTCGACCGTCGCAGATAATCAGCTGATCGTGTTTAACGCGGGACTGTTCTTTGAATGTGACCATTGAGCGATGTTTGTGAATAGTGCAAGCTGTAGACTTCTCTTTATTTAACACGACTAGGCCCCCGCAACCAATATTATTATGGACAGGTGAGAGCCTGGATAGGTGAAAGCCTGGATCGGTGAGAACCTGGATGGGTTAGAGTCTGCTTCTTGGTTGCTGCTGCGTGTGCAGCAGTGGGAGATACAGAGAGCGTTCCAGACGGCTGCTGACTGGTGCAGCTACAGAGAAACGCACTCATCCAGAAGCCGGTGCCGGCTATGGGTATAGGTCATTGTGAGTTGAACTCAGTAGGATACGGTGGAAGTTTGCTGTGATCAGTGGGATGAGAAAGGTGGAGGAAACGTTTTGGCGGGAGACCTTGGGAGAGCGCTCGATTGCAGAGGAGAGCGATGCTGTACCATGACCTTGACTCGATGGGGAGCGTGTGGCGAAATAACAATAACCACCCTCTCCCCTTGCCGCTGCCAGGCTGGACAGGAGTCAGCCGAAGGATCTCAACGTCGGTTCCCGCGGCGGAGGGAAGAAAAAGAATGAGAAAAAGGAGGAGAAGATGAAAAATAAGGAGGAAAATAAGACGGAGAAGAAAGAGAATAAGAAGGAGAAAGAACAGGGGAAGGAGGAGCAGGATGGGAAGAAGGAGGAGGAGAAGGAGAAAATGAAAGAAGAGAAGGAGAAGAAAGAGAACGGGGAAAAGAAGCAGAAGAAGGACGAAAAGGAGGAGGAAAAGAAGGGGGAGAAGGAGCAGAATCATAAGAAGGAGGAGAAGAAGAGGGATAATAAAGAGAAGGAGGAGAAGACGGTGAAGCGGGAACCGTACGACTTCTCGGCTCACATCTACTTCGACGACGCCTTCGAGAGGAAGGGAGATCGCATGGTGGTCAACCAGTTCGTGACCAGCCTCACGGACGTCATCGCCGAAGTGTGCCGGTCAGTGCACCGGATGTTATTTTGTGGTAGCAATGAGCTGCGTGGGTGGAGGGAGTGAGGGATGGATGGATAGAGGCACGGGCCTTGTCATAACGAAGCAAGTGACGACACGGGGCGGTTAAGCTCAGCTCGTGGTGCGAGAGACCACAAAAAGGATGGCAACAGGTTACGCCGATGCCTTCGTTCAGAAGTGAATAGATCACGGTGAACGATGACGATGATTGCTGATGGTCACGCAGATGAACGTCGTGAGTGCGGATCGCAGGCTTAGCGAGGCCTTCCTTGCGTCACCGTCACCGTTGTTGAGTGCAAATCCGAAGGTGCAAAAACTGACAATTGGCTGGCAAAGAGTGACACTGTGGTGGGCGGTGTGATAGATGAGCATTCACGCACGTGTTGAATTGAACAGGAAGCCTCAATTGTTGAACTTTTTTCGCACCATACGTAGCCAACCTTGCTATAGAGCGCCTTAGGCACTGAACATAATTTACACAAAACGGTGCAGCACTGGGGAGAAAAAAGCAGACGGGCGTAGTGCTGGTCACCCACCCCCTCGTGTGCCGGGCCGGCCTTCATGGGTGATACTGGCTAACAGCCCTTGCCCCCAACACTCTGTTGAAGGCTATACGGGGGGATTTTTGTCTTTTGTTCGTGCGTTGGTAAGAATTTAGGCAACGAGACGACTCAGTCCTTGCGACCTCGACCTCGACGTGGGTGCACGAATCGAGCAGCGAAGTTCGTGTGAACAGTAACGATGGTTGTAGAAGTCGTAGCGATAGAAGTGAGATATGGAGGCGACTGACCGGCGGTGAGCGAGCGAGCGACTGGGAGATAATCTTTGAGTGCTGGATCATCAGTCACCGACGACAGCTGCTGCTTTACTCAATTCAGAATCAGAATATGTATTTATACTGCAGGAGGAATTCGATGAGCTTCAAAGCTCGATTTCACAGATGTCCAGCAGGGGCGGGTCAGACCGTTAGCTCAACAAAATACAAACCACGACAGGAGTGCAAAGTATAAGACAGGTTAGCAGATCACAAAACACAAATACAACTAAAAAACATCTTTTTTACCAGGTAAGACCCACTGAGGTATTAGCTTTTTTTCAGAAGCACACTGGCCACAACTGATAGCGCAACGAAGTGGCTTTTCACATGGAAATTTATAGCAGAAAAAAAATCTAAATTTTAAAAAAAAATTCGAGTTCAGCAGTGAGGTGGCAACTGGGGACTTCATGCCAGATATGACAACAGTTGCAGCAGCAGCAATGCAACATAGTAATTGGGGCGCGTCTTTTCTGTCACTTGCGCTGTTGCTGCTGATGTGAAGGTTTTTTGAAAAAAACTCGAACAATCCACAAGAGGCGCCCTCAATGGAGAGGACTCAGACGCCGTACGGAGCGCGACTCTCCTACAAACTCCCGCACGGCAACTCGCTGTATGTGCACCTCAAGGACAAGGAGATGATCCGCCACCGCAAGCGCTGGTCCCAGGTATGTGCTGCATCCCTGGGCTTCAGATCTTCTGCCCCAAAGCTCATTGGGCCACAAACCCTACAACCACATCCACACACAGAGTATAGTAGCAACAGCAACAGCCGATGTGCTTTTCATGACGATGACTATTATGCACAATTGGAAAATTAAATATCTCCGGTCAGCGTCCGGCGATGATACGTATGTATGTGGAACTTCTTTCGCACTGTACTTCACCAACCGTGGTAATCGGAGGTGGAGAGAAGGATACAAAAAAATAAACACAAAAAGCAGTTCTAAATAAATTAGTATCCAAATCTAGATTTCAAAGTGGATAGCTTCAGTGCATTCCTAATATCGACAGTGGTCACCACCTGGAACAGAGTGATGGAACACACAACAACTCAACGCCCGATTCCCAACACGAACGAAGGGTGAGGCATCATCACAGCAGCGATGATTCGCCACTTCGCTACTCCTGACGCAATCATCTGGCTCGTCAACCACCTCAATGTAAAGTTACAACTCTCGCTGTACGAGTCGACATCAGCATCAGCCGTACGAAGGGGAATGCAATAGCTCACGTCTATTGAAGCCATCTGTATGTTACCTCGAGAGTCATGCCCTCATATTGGAATTAAATCACGTGATGATTCACAATTCGTTTCACGTGCAAATCAGTGCACATCATAGAGACAAATATACCCTGTATAGCCTCAGCAGGTTTTTTGGGGCAAGTGCTGTAAACGAGTTGAGCACAGCAGTGTTGTCCGTGACCGAGTGTTCCCCGACTCGATTGATTTGGTGTTGAGTGCTATGATGATGGTGATGACTGCACTAGGGTTGTTATCGATGTATCACAGCAATCTCACGCCGATACTCTTTTGCGTGTTGTTCTATTGCCTTCTGTCCACGATTTGGGGGGGGGAGGTTGGTGGCGCTGTTGAGTTACACTTGGGCAGCACGCGCCGTCATGGCCATTGGGTCGAGAATAATAACGGAGCGGCAGCCAAAGAATGGAAAGTACCCTGGAGGGTTGACCGCCGGGGAGATGGAGCGATGGAATCAGTTGGTAATCGAGGTGCTTAGTGGATAACGACTCAGGATCCCGGGAAACATCGCGACTACTTGGGTAGGTCTTAATCCAGTCGTGGATCGATCACGGCTGCTGCTGCTGATGATGATTGTTGTTATTAAAGCCCTTGACGTGTTCTGTACAGGTAATGTACTTGTACTACCTCCTTGGCTGGAAGATCTACCGCAAGATCCACGAAGTTAATAAAGATGAACAAGAGGAATGGGTGGAGGTAAGGGTCTTGTAAACTTCAAAGACAACGATGCCTTATATATCCGTTAACAGACTGTTGAGGCAAGTGCATTTAGCGAGCACCTGTTAAGGGTGGAATGGCACACGAGCGGGTCGTGTGTCCAACACCATGCCCATTCGCCTTTGTCTCGCCAGTGCTAATGTTTACTCATCTAAGGCTAAATCTACCTAGGGGAGGCAACTTTCCACTTCCACTTAGCAGTATAAATGGGTAGGCCCTGCACATTCCGTGGATGGGCAGTTCGCGTGCAGTGGGGTAGAGTGTGAGAACTCACACTTTACGGCACATTTAGAAGTCTATCTTTGGTTGCCTTTCTGGCACAATGTGTCACTCAACGCGCCATCATCACGTTGATACTCAAAATAGTGCAGTGGGCTCCACGCAGGCACACACTTGAACTTGGAGGCAACAAGTTTATTCTCACACCCGACCAGGGTAACTACTTAAACATACAGCAGGTTAACTAAACCACAACGGGGTAACTACATAACCGGGTCAGTCAGTAACACACTGCCTGACCCACGATGCCGAGCGTAAAGACCGACGACCGAGGACCGAGGATCGAAGAAGCGTAGCACCGACGGGTTCCATTCCAACAGACAGCCCGGATCGGCTCTCGGGACCTCCCTTTTATGCCCCTGAGCATCGCCTGGCTCTGCCCTTGGCCACGACCCCTTCTGGAAATTACCAGAAGGTTCTGGTCCATATATCACTTGTCCCTCTTGCCACCTTTTGGCCCCCCTCAATATCCTGTCCTGGTCACGTGCTCTCTCAGGTTCACCTTGACTGTCACGTCCTCAACTGCCCTCTCTCTGACAGTCACCAGAAGCATGCCCCGTAGGACCCCCTTCCATGCCACACATACTCTGGTGCCAGATAGAGGGTCTAACACGCACAGTTCCCCTCTTCTGTCAGTAACTGGTGCGAAACGCCGTAGTGACCCAATATACGTCACTACAATAGCAATATAACTTTCTATACAATAAGAAAAAAAATATATACACTTATTCAGTTGTTTAAAATCTAAGTGTAAAATAGGTTTGCAGCTGAAATTTTGTTGTATTTATGTTTAACTTCTTTCACTCCGTACATAGCCAACCGTAGTAATCGGAGGTGCGGGGGCAGGACAACAAACCAAACACAAAAAGCAGTTCTAGAGAATGTAGATTTCAATCTAATTGATGATTTAAAAGTGCAAACCTCCAGTTGCTTCCTAATATCGGAAGAAAGAGCGTTCCAGACGACCGTAGAAGTGCATCTGAAAGCACGAGATGCAGTCCCCGTCTTTCTTCGATGGCTCGCCCAAAGCCGCTACTGCGAGGATGACCGGAGTTAGTTGTTGTACGCAAGCGAAAAGAGCCGCTTTGTTGCTGTTGAGTTGTCGCTGTTAATGAAGTGACGATGGAGTCGAGTGTGCGCACCACTTCGGGGAGGTTGTTTCCAAAGGTTGTAGCGCTGCAGATAGCAATGCTCTCTCCACCCACGTGGTTGTTATTAGGAATCCACTGGAGCTATGCACTTTAAAATCAGCTATTTTGAACACTCATTTCTGTGAAATGCGGTTTGTGTTTAGTTTGTTGTCCTTTCCCAACGAACATGGTTGGCTACATACGGTGCGAAAGAAGTTCAACATACATACATACAATATACATACAGCATACATACGTTGTGGGTTTGGTTGTTGGAGGTTGGAGAAGGAGTGTTGGGGTTTACGAGCTAAGTGAACAGTTGCTTTACTTGCTCTGTACAAGGTCGCGGCTGTAATGCCACCGCTGTTGCTGATCTGCATCTGTGCCACTACTCCCCGTTCACCACTACAGAGGAGGAAGCGCAACACCTACGTGCTGGCCTTGGATGGAGACACGGACTTCTACCCCTCGGCGCTCTCCATGCTGGTCGACCGACTCAGGAGGGACCCCACCGTTGGCGCCGCCTGCGGGAGAATTCACCCGACGGGCGTGGGTGCGTAGACAGCTGTGGTGTGTGTGGTGCAGGCTGTGTGTGGGTGGTGCAGGATGTGTGTGTGTGTGGTGCAGGATGTGTGTGGTGCAGGATGTGTGTGTGTGTGGTGCAAGATGTGTGTGTGTGGTGCAGGGTGTGTGCGTTTGTGGTGCAGGATGTGTGCGTGTGTGGTGCGTTTGGTGCAGGATGTGTGTTGTGTAGGATGTGCGTTTGGTGCAGGATGTGTGTGTGGTGCAGAGTGGTTGTGCAGTGGTTAGCACAATCCGCTATGAACCTAGCGACCCAAGTTCGATTCGAGCTCAAGGTCAACTCCAGTGACGATTATCTGAACCCGTCCAGCGGCTCCCCTAGGTCAACTCAGCCTCAAATTATCATCTGGTGTGATGTGTAAATATCACTGCTGGGGAGACAAAGGCAGCCGGGCATGGTGCTGGCCACCCGCCCCCTCGTATGCCATGCTGGCCTTCACAGGCGCTTCTCATGAACAGCACTTGCTCCAACAGTCTGTTAATGCTACACAAGGATTATTAGGTGCGGGTTGTCACCAGATCTCAGCAGCGCTGAGCCTGGACAGTGCTTGAGAATGGGTGCGTGTGGATGACAGATGTGTACAGCGTGATTTTAATTGTTTACAGGTTATGCAAGTGGGAGGGGGGGACATATCCTGAAAAGTGTTGCGTTTATTAATCAAATGTGAAACCCGCGACAGTGATTCTGCATTCTGGGTGGGGAAATCAATACCCCCCCCCCCTACTTGCTGGTCGTGCCACACAATTTTACTGTGCGAACCGCATGCTCGCCACACTCACTGCCCACCCTGCACGTATTATTGCTCGGCTTTTTATTGGTAGGCGTATGAACTTCAGCACCGTTGAACGCCTTCATCTCTGTTAAAGTCCTGCGGTAAAATGGCATTCAACCCAATCAGATTACGCACAACCGTTAATTCCATCAGGTTTTCGTTGAAGTAATTGCAAAACATGCAAATTGCAGTGGCCTAGGGTGTCTCTGATGCAATCCTCACACAAGATTCACCCTTAGTGCACATGATCCAGATGACACGCTGTTTCAGCAGACTAACAGAACGCTAGTTTAACACAGGCTTTTGCAAAAATATTATTCATTGTAAATGTTGTGGATTTACTCTCCAACAAACCGTTGTGCTGAAGTAGTAACTGATTTGCACGTTTTGCTTAGGTGACAAACCTTACTGGCTGTATCGGATGGAGGAGGGTTACGTCACTTTTTCACTTACATGATCTAACCCAAAAACCTTAATTTTGAATAACAGAAAGCCCTTGCTATCACAACTACTCGGGATGTTTAAAGACAGTTAATTGAACAAACACCCACACACATACACACACGTAAGCACGGTGAAAGTATTGTAATTGAATCAACACTCATCCACCACAGCAGTGCTGAGTGCACATGGAGCAGAATTGTTATATCATGAAGTGGTCTGAGAAAAACCACCACCGCTAGTAATGTAAGTTTAACTTTACATAACTCAAATGAAATACAAAGATATTGCAAAGACTTCGGAGTAAATTGCACAAATCCTCGAGAATTATTTAGTGAAAATAAAATCAATATTATTATTCTTGGTTCTTTCGGTAAGTCATGTAGATAGAAAATAAAATAAAAAATAAAAATAATGAAATAAATGTTACATTTCAACATTTTAATAAATGTACGTATTCATCAGGAGGAGAGTTTTTTGCTTTTATTATTTTCTATTTATTTAAATTTTTTTTATTTAAAATTTTTATTTTCTATTTACGTGACTTTACCGAAAGAACCAAGAATACGAATTCCTGCAGTCACGAAAGTTTTAAGTCAAAATTTTATATCATTATTATCAGCCGTGGCCAATCCACTGCGGGAAGAAGGCCTCCCCAAGTCGTCGCCATCTCTCACGACTCTGCGATGTAATAATCCAACACATCACCAACCTTGGTAATCGTCCAACCTTCCTGACCAGCTGGATAGCAAACATAATAATTAAATAGATGGCCATAACCTGTACTATTCCCTTAGAGGTTAGATGCCCAAATTAACAGAGGCTGTCACTGAAATCTGCCAGGAGAGCTAGCAGTTGGCATGAGCTGGCACGCGCCATGCTGAGCCGAGGCAGATCACAGGCAAACTGACACCAACCATAGTTGTGACGAAATCAAACTACGTGGCACGCACTGATATCCAATCTCAATGCTTTAACGGCACAATTCAAATGTCTATCGTTTATTGAGTGGTCGAGCCAGGCGGGACCGGCCTTGGGCTCGGACACAAACCCATATTTTCACCCAGGAAACCGGAGAGCACAGATTTAGCCACTCCTTGACTCATTGTCATAGCAAAAATCACATCTATTTATGAATGCACAATTCAAAATAAATGAATAACAAATAAGCAATTATAAGAGGAGAATAATTCAAAGAGCATGTGTATTTTGTTTTTACGCCACCCATCCCTCTGCTCCCTGCCCTCCCGCTCTCCCAACGTGACCTCCCGGATCGCTCTTCCTGGCTTGCTACTCTTCCTCACCTCCTGCCCTCTCTCATAACCCCCTCCTTTCATCTCCCCAGCATGCCCTTCCATACCTTCTAGCCGTCTACTCTTCATCCAACCCCTCCCTCCGATCCTCCCCTCTATTGCCCCACTGCCTATTCCCTCTCCCTCCTCCTGTACATCCCTACCACTCCTATTGACCCACCCTTGATCCCCCGTAGTCAGCAATTACATTTCCTCCCAATCTCGGAATTCAAAGTTCTCACATCGCTCTCCATGTTTACAAAAAAAACGTATTTTAGTTGTGGTTCCAATGCAAAACCCACAGTCCTTTTTTCAACATATACAGTGAGGGAAAAAATTATTTGATCCCCTGCTGATTTTGTACGTTTGCCCACTGACAAAGAAATGATCAGTCTATAATTTTAATAGTAGGTTTATTTGAACAGTGAGAGACAGAATAACAACAACACAATCCAGAAAAACGCATGTCAAAAATGTTATAAATTGATTTGCATTTTAATGAGGAAAATAAGTATTTGACCCTTGTTGGCAATCACAGAGGTCAGACGTTTCTTGTAGTTAGCCACCAGGTTTGCACACATCTCAGGAGGGATTTTGTCCCACTCCTCTTTGCAGATCTTCTCCAAGTCATTAAGGTTTCGAGGCTGACGTTTGGCAACTCGAACCTTCAGCTCCCTCCACAGATTTTCTATGGGATTAAGGTCTGGAGACTGGCGAGGCCACTCCAGGACCTTAATGTGCTTCTTCTTGAGCCACTCCTTTGTTGCCTTGGCCGTGTGTTTTGGGTCATTGTCATGCTGGAATACCCATCCACGACCCATTTTCAATGCCTTGGCTGAGGGAAGGAGGTTCTCACCCAAGATTTGACGGTACATGGCCCCGTCCATCGTCCCTTTGATGCGGTGAAGTTGTCCTGTTCCCTTAGCAGAAAAACACCCCCAAAGCATAATGTTTCCACCTCCATGTTTGACGGTGGGGATGGTGTTCTTGGGGTCATAGGCAGCATTCCTCCTCCTCAAACAAGGCGAGTTGAGTTGATGCCAAAGAGCTCCATTTTGGTCTCATCTGACAACAACACTTTCACCCAGTTGTCCTCTGAATCATTCAGATGTTCATTGGCAAACTTCAGATGGGCATGTATATGTGCTTTCTTGAGAAGGGGGACCTTGCGGGTGCTGCAGGATTTCAGTCCACGGCGTAGTTTGCTACCAACTGTTTTCCTGGTGACTATGGTCCCAGCTGCCTTGAGATCATTGACAAGATCCTCCCGTGTAGTTCTGGGCTGATTCCTCACCATTCTCATGATCATTGCAACTCCACGAGGTGAGATCTTGCATGGATCCCCAGGCCGAGGGAGATTGACAGTTCTTTTGTGTTTCTTCCATTTGCGAATAATCGCACCAACTGTTGTCACCTTCTCAACAAGCTGTTGGCGATGGTCTTGTAGCCCATTTCAGCCTCGTGTAGGTCTGCAATCTTGTCCCTGACATCCTTGGAGAGCTCTTTGGTCTTGGCCATGGTGGAGAGTTTGGAATCTGATTGATTGATTTCTTCTGTGAACAGGTGTCTTTTATATAGGTAACAAGCTGAGATTAGGAGCACTCCCTTTAAGAGTGTACGCCTAATCTCAGCTCGTTACCTGTATAAAATACACCTGGGAGCCAGAAATCTTTCTGATTGAGAGGGGGTCAAATACTTATTTCCCTCATTAAAATGCAAATCAATTTATAAAAAATTTAACATGCGTTTTTCTTGATTTTGTTGTTGTTATTCTGTCTCTCACTGTTAAAATAAACCTAACATAAAAATTATAGACTGATCATTTCTTTGTTAGTGGGCAAACGTACAAAATCAGCAGGGGATCAAATATTTTTTTCCCTCACTGTATACATACAACGTACATACAACATGAATACAACACACAATATAATATACAACCCACATACAACATACATATATACAACATACGTACAACATAGATGTAATAACTTGATTTGAAGCTTTCGTGACTGCAGGAATTACTCTTGGATTATTTCTACGTGACTTTACCGAAAGAACCAAAGAGTAACATAGATGTAGCCAAGAAAGCCACACCTGAATCGTAGCACTGCTGCATTGTGTTTTCACTTTGAGTTGCATTCAGCCAATTAACCATAATTGTTTATACACCGTCAGGGCCGCTCGTCTGGTACCAGAAGTTCGAGTACGCGGTAGGACACTGGCTGCAGAAGACGGCCGAGCACGTGCTGGGCTGCGTTCTCTGCAGCCCTGGCTGCTTCAGCCTCTTCCGAGCCAAGGCCATCATGGACGACAACGTCCTCAAGACCTACACCACGGTGGCCACCGAGGCCCTGCAGTACATCCAGTATGACCAGGGTAAGTGTCGACGTGTGTTTGGATCTCGCACCTTTGATCAGAACGGTTGGCTAGGTGTGGTGTGAATTAAGTTCAACATGTATACATGTCACAGTGGTGAGATGTTAACTCCCTCGCCTGGTATACAGCAGGTCGTAAGTTCCATCCCGAACCTGACGCGTGAATATGCGTGTCTCTCTCTCTCTCCCTGTGGTTGCGTAGACTTTCTTCAGGTCCTCTAGTTTTTCCCTCCTCATTTAGATGCAACATCACGTGCTTAGAACCTTTGGCTGCTATTAATTTCCACATGATAAGGCACTTCGATGACCTTTCATCTGTGGCCAGGTCGCTTCTGAATAAGAGCTACATGGCACAATTGGGCCTTACCTGGTAAAATAAACAAAAATAGTTTAGTATTATTTTATATATATAGTGGAAGTAATCAGTCACAATACCATCAGTGGACTCTCCCATCTGATTGTTAATTTCCCACCCAACCCTTCTGGCTGATGTGATCAATGGATATATTTGTTGCATTGGTTAAAAAGAACTACAATTCTATGGAAATCTCGTCTGCAAACGTGGACGTTGTATGTATTTAGAATCTCTTTCGCACAATACATCACAGTAATAGTGGGCCGTGACCCCGCAACATCAATTTCATACATAGGCTTTCACGACCAATATTCATGATTCACAATTCGTTCATGCTGGGTTAGATTAACGTGTAGGTATAGTGTTAATTTGTTTTAACTATAAGCGTCCGCCATCCGACAGAGCCAATCGGGTAAGGTTGTTAGGTCATGGGGCAACTACGTCGATGATTTTGGTTTCATTAGCAAACCCCGAATATTGAAAGACAAGCAAAATATTAAAAAAAATTACGTAAATATTAATATAATATTTTATTTATTTACATTTAACTTTTTCTAACAAAAAATCTGTTGACATTCGCCCAATTGACAACTTGAATGACTGATATTATACCTGCACGATGATCGGACCCACAATGAACGAATCATGAATCATTACAACGTTGCTCTCTGCCTTCTGAGTCAGATTTTTATGCACCGGTCCCCTCCCCACCACACCCTCTGTATGAATGGGTTCACCACACAGTTGGTCGGGAGGTCACGTGTGGCGACTCTAACGTGTGGGTATTCAGATCTCTGTCTAAGACGTCTGGCAAGCTTCCAGAGAGGAGGCCAAAAATACCACGAGAGAGGGAATGTTGCCAAGCTCCTCTGTCAGCAGTAGAGTGAGCAAGCTGGGGAAGAGACGTACCTCCAGCAGCATTCATGATTAATGCAACATGCACACTTCGCAAACTGTACATAATTTTCCATCTAGAACTCAGAGGTGAAAGGTCAAAGTCCCTAATACACTACTCTGAACCAGGTGAGAGCCTGGACGGTTGACACCCTAGACAGGTGAGAGCATTAACAGGTGAGAGTCTACTTCTTGAAGGTGGATGATGCTTGTTGGATGCTATTGCTACTGCTCGTGCGTGTGCATCAGTGGGAGATACAGAGAGAGAGAGAATTTCAGACGACTACTGCCGGTGCAGCTCTAGAGAAACGCCGCTCGGCCAGCAGCTGATGCCGGCTGTGGGTACGATGAGCCGGTTACCCTCTAACTCGCGGACGTCCCCTCTCCCATTTGTCGGTGCAGGCGAGGACCGCTGGCTGTGCACGCTGATGCTGCAGCAGGGCTGGCGCGTTGAGTACTGTGCCGGATCGGACGCCTACACCAACGCCCCGCAGGAATTCAAGGAGTTCTTCAACCAGCGGAGGCGTTGGGGCCCCTCCACGATGGCGAACACCTTCAGCATCCTGGAAAATGGCATCCGCACGGCCACGAAGAACCCGTCCATCTCTCGGCTCTACATTCTCTATCAGATCATCTACACGGCCACCTCCATCATGGGTCCGGCCACCGTCTGTCTCATGATTGCAGGTGACTTCGGGTTGTCACATGTTCTGGGTTTTTATTTTATTTACCCGGGTTCATCCTTTTGATGCAGGGACTACATGAAAAGAGACGGCGCCATGGTGGAGAGGTGTTAACTCCCTCGCCTGGTATACAGGAGGTCGTGAGTTCGAACCCGACCCTGACGCCTGTATATTATGGAGTTCGCATGTCTTTTCTCGTGGTCGTGTTGATTGTTAACCGGGTTATCTGGTTTTTCGCTCCACGTTTGGAATCAACATCACGCGTTTAGAGTATTTGGCTGCTATAAATTTACACGTAATAAGCCACTACGTTCAGCTATAATTTGTGGCCAAGTTGCTTCTGAAAAAGAACTACATAGCTAAGTGGGCCTTATATGGTATAATAAAAATAGTTTGGTTAAAAAAAAGTTAACCTGAAACACTTCTGCTCACAGTCGTGCATGGCTTCATGTCGTCACTCACAGTTGTTCCTTCCACGATATATTTGATTGCCATATTTTTGATAACAAATGTCCATGGGTTTGGTGTTTAACGCACACAGCCTCAAAGTGAGCAGTCGTGTTAATCTTCTAATCATAACTCTAGCTGCCTTATAATTGTACAGCCATAATAGTTTTTTAGCTTTTCACACACTGCTTGCCTGCAACCCACCGGCGTGCATAAAAAAAGACGGCATAATCCTTGCTCTTATCTACTTACGCCATCTACACCACAAGGCCTCGGCTGCAGCTTCAGGCGTAGCCGCAGTTGCAGCACTGGTCGTCACCACACCAGCTTATACCCCCCCCCACGGCCCATCCTGGCTCCTCCCCTTAATAATAAGCTCGTGTCTCTTAGAGTTCTCTTCACTTGATACAGTAATTTTGCTGTGACGGTTCCACCTGAAGAGGGAGGCTTGTGTTGCCTTCAAAACGTCGTGATTAAATGTATTTGTTTTCTCTTTTAACCTATGTGACTTCACCGACAAAAAAGAAGAGTATATATACGCACTGCTTGCGTGTTAATAATATTGTGAGGAGTATTGCTTTTGTGCTGGGGTATTTAAACTGCTGTATGTTTCTTTCAGCCAACAAAAAAATTAATACACAGGCTGCACGACTCAGTTAATCTGAGTGCACTCTTTGCTTTACAGCTGATTGAACAGTTGTCGTTGTCAATCATGGTGATGATGGTGGTAGTGGTGGTGATGATGATGATGGTGGTGATATTGATGATGATGGTGGTTGTGGTGATGAGATGATAATGATGGTATTCAGCTCGTGTGGTATTTGTCTCGTGCCGGTGCTCAGGTTGCTTCACCTTCGTTTTCAAAATGGACCAAAACTGGGCACTCCTCATCGCCATCGTTCCGCCCGCTCTGTACATCGCCGTCTGCTTCAAAACGAAGCCCGACACGCAGATCAAGGTGGGCGCCCACGCTTTTCCTGCAGAAGCACGTGGCACTCATTACACACAACGTGCTTGCCACAAATGAACCACAATGTACATATGTATGCTGAACTTCTTTGGCACCGTACGTAGCCAACCTTGCTTATCGGAGGTGCAGGTGACGGACAACAAACTAAACACAAAAAGCAGTCTTAAAGAAATTAGTTTTGAATATATATGATTTAAAAGTGCAAAGCTACAGTGGCTTCTTAACATTTTAAGGAATATCGTTCCACACGACCACAGCAGCCCATCTGAAAGCTTGCGATGGAGTAACTGTCTTTGTTCGATGGCTGGCCAAAAACCACTGCGAGGATAACTGGAGTTCACACGATTGTTTATGGTCCTTGACGTGGCTATCAAGGTATTGTAGATCGTTTGTGGCACGCTATTTTTGTATTATGAGTACGACCTTATAACAATGTATTTGGTCGGCAACTGGAAGCTAAAGCAGCTCGGCGAGCACTGGATGGACATGGTCGGATCTTGCAATGCCCGTCACAACACGTGCCAACGTCCCATAGAGCGGTTTGTTGCAATAATTGTGCCTTATCGATACAATACTACACATCACCATGGTGGTTAGGCCCTGATATGAAAATTACAGAAATTGACTACATTTTGCATGTGGTGATCACCTGACATATTCTGGTCGAGTATGACGCCGAGGCTGTTTAGATTAATCAAAAACTGAATCCTTGAGTCTGCGACTACCACACCTGATTCTCGCACAATTTCGTTTCATGCAAACCACACGTGCACCACTCGCTTGCAATATTCGAGGCTGCCGAGGCTCTCCACATTTAACTTGGACTTCATTGCGGTGTACAATTGTGAGTCATCAGCATATATATAGAACTTGATATTACGTGATGAGATGACATTGGCGATTGGAGAGACATATTTTGAAAATTGGAAGTGCTAGAGGATAGACCCCTGTGGTACGCTGACTAAGCATAGGCGATGACTGTTCGTCACCCAGCTTGACGAACTGTAATCCACCATACAGGTATGACTCAATCCACTCTAGTGCCATAGCCGATGCATCGAACCTTATCTGCTCAATGAGTATCGAGGCCAACCAACGCTGCGACGCACCGGTCATCTATGATCTTGTAGAGGTCAACAGTGACCTCTAGTAGAGTCATCTCAGGGCTGTGGAATTGTCGGTACGCCGACTACAACGGGTTGAATTTGCCCATCGCAGTGACGTGGGGAAGTAACTGCTTCAGACACAGGCGCTCAATGACCTCTGAAATTGTACTCAGGTTTGAGATCGGGTGATAGTCTAGGTGTTCACTATGGCTCAAGCCAACTTTTTCAGAAGCGGTGTTACCTGCGCCATTTTTCAATGGTCTGGCAAACAGCCCTCAGTGAATGAAATATTTGCCAGGTGGACAATCAGTGGCGCAAGAACGTCCAAACATAATTTGAGAATTTATATCTGGATGGAGTCGAGCGGCGATGTCTTATTTGGCAGCTGTGCAATGAACATTGAAACCTCTGCTACCGACGATGGTGCCAGGGTCTAGAGTTTTGCAATGGTTATCAGGTTGATAAAACTCACATGACAGACCAGGAGACTGCGTTGCCTGCAAGTTAGAAACTGCCGTCTTAATCGTCACTTTATTGGTGAAGAACGTCACAAGTACTGTACACAGACCGGGCTAACTAATGTATGGGTTTGAAGTGCAACAGGCCCTTCACAACGCGGCACAGAGCACGGGGTCGCGAACCGACTTATTGATGCACAGACCATAGAACGATCAGCGAGACTCAATAATGAGCCAGTTTGCAAATCTGTAGGCGGCTCTGTAAGTGAGTTGGACAGTCTGGAAACCAGTTTTATTTCAAAGACGCCCCAGCCTCCTCTGCGTCTGCTTCGCAGTGATCGCTTCCAGTGACAATAAGTCACTTCATGCTAACCCGTTCTCTGTGTGCTTGTTTGGATGGACATAAGTTCATCAAGAACAGCAATGATGTCATTTTCTAATTGAGCTGCAAATGAATGGACCGTCGATGCAGTATTCAGACGCACCAATGATGACCAGATCTTCTGACAGAAAGCATCGTGGGTTAGTCGTTTTCAGTTCCTGTATGATATCGTTGTGATGGGTGGGCGAATAATTGGTAATGCCACTTTGCACGTCACAAGACTGTCATCTGAAATGCCTACGTCTTCCATAAGAACGTCGTTTAAAGTTACGACGTCGCCGTATGTGAAGATATGATCCAGTATTCTTCCTGAGCAGCATGTTGCGCCGCTGACGTGCTGCGTTAAACTGACTGTAGAACGTTTCGGCGAGATCACTGTTGATTTTACCATAAGAATAAGTCAGTCCTGGACTGTTCAGGTCAGCACAGATGATGTAGCGAGAGCCAAAAGTCCCATAGTCTCGCAGACCAGAAAGCTAGGAAAATAATTCTGACAGCTGTGAAGTCGACGGTCGATAGACGACAGCGATCGTATGCCCCCACATGCTCTTTGTTATTGTCACAAGCAGCAGCTTGAATTATGTGATTGGTAATGAGTCGCTCAGGACTTTCACGCAGATTTCTCCATGGTGAATCAGTGTGACCCGATCACCATGTGAACTGCTGGTGCCAGGCTTCCCGCGACGGTGCTGATGTGCAATAGCATATCCGTTAGGTGCAGCCTCACGCTTAATTACATCCGATGAGTCGTCATATGTCCAGGTTTTGGTAATGGCCAACATGTCGAGTCCACAATCGTTGATCAGATCCTGGATCAGCACAATCTTGTTAAATAAGAAGTGTGTGTTGATCAATCCAGCGTCGGTGTTCAGACCCCGCCTGGACGCACGTTCATTCTCTTCCTTTCACTTCTTTCAATGAGCTCCCAAAGCTCTTGGGTCTTCCTCCCCTATCATTATTTTGTTGTTGTTTGTAAAGTGCAGGACCTTGTGGAAAAGTGCGGAATGAATGCAAAGTAACTCCCAAGAAGTGGTGGTGGTTGGACAAAAAGGACAATGGTGACGCCAATCACTAATGTTTCCTACATCGCCCTGCAGGGGCGCTGCGATGGCGAAATGTTAACTCCCTCTCCTGGTATACAGGAGGTCGTGGGTTCGTTCTCAATCCTGACCCTGATGCCTGTTATGTATTTGGAGTCCACGTGTTCTCTCTCTCTTCCCTCCACGTGATGAGCCGCTTCGTTGAGCTATCATTTGTGGCAAGGTGGCTTCTGAAAAGAGCTTTATACCTCAGTGGGCCTTACCTGGTATTTTTTGTTTAAGGTGGCCATGGTGCTCACCGTGATCTACATGTTCCTCATGACGGGCACGCTGCTCGCTATGGTCGGCGACATTGTCAAGAACGGTATCCTCACGCCCAGCGGCATCTTCTTCATCACTCTCGCGGGCATCCATCTCATCGCCGCGGCGCTGCACCCGCGCGAGTTCTCCTGCATCGTGCACGGATTCTTGTACCTCATCTGCATCCCCACGGGATACCTGCTGCTGCTCATCTACTCGCTGGTCAACATGTACAATGTATCATGGGGCACGCGTGAGACCAAGGCGCCTTCTGAGCCCTCCCACAAGGAGGTGAGTTACTTTGTGTGTTATCGTTGTTGTTTTTATGTCGAACGTTATTTGGAGTGTCGCTCCATTGTCCTCTGTTGCTACGTCCTGCACGTCCGATTAGCACGATTGGCTACGTACAGTGCAAAATAAGTGTAACATATGACCCCCCCCCACCCCCGCCAACACGAAGGCAGAGATCCCATGTAACCTTTAACCGATTGTTGGGGCAAGTGCTGTTAACGAGTAGCGCCTGTGAAGTCTGGAATGACACACAAGGGGGTGGGTGGCCAGCACCACGCCCGGCCGCCTTTGTCTCCATTGTTGTGATGTTTACTACACCACATTGGCTATTTATTTTTAAGGCTGAGTCAATCTAGGGAAGGCCAAGGACCGGTTCAGATGTATGTATGTTGAACTTCTTTCACACCGTATGTAGCCAACTGTGCTAATAGGAGGTGAGAAGGAAGGAAAGCCTCTAAACACAAAAAGCAGTTTTTAAGAAATTAATTTTCAATGTAAATTATTTAAAAATGCGATAGCTCCAATGGCTTCCTCATATTGGAAGGAAGAGGGTTCCAGATGGATGGACAAGCGCACCCAAAAGCACGCGATGTGGTCACCGTCTTTGTTCAATGGTTATCCAAAATCCTCTGGTGAGAGGATAACCGGAGTTTGCTAAATTATCGTTTATGTTTCTTGAGAAGAACAGTGGTGGTGGCTGTGCCACTCGTGTCTATTAATCCAGCACGATGGGTATCCAGGAGAAGGCATACACTGGCTTGCCAGGAGAATGCAGTATGACCATTGTGGACTCTATCTGTTCCATTTGAATAGGACGAAATGTTTTCCCCTCGCATTTGTGGGTTTTTCCATGGTGTTCTGGTTTCTTCTTGGCCTATAAAACCTTCATACATGGAGGACCGCAGAACTTGGACAGTTATTGGCGCCAGTTCACTGAGCAGCTGAAACTGCCTTCCAGCTTGTGTGCGGTTCCTGCTGGTTTGATATAATTAAAGGACCCTGCCCGAATGCACCAACACAATGCCCCCATCCCCCTGTCCCAGCAGAAGAAGAAACACAAGCATCGTTGCAATGGAACGAAATGCTGTGTGCTGCCACTCGAGTGGGACTGCTTCCAGTGGAGAATCAGCGTCTATCCGAAGGAATACTCGGCGCTGAGTCAGGCAGATGACAGTTCAAGGTACCACCACCGCACTCAGAGCCTGTAGCCATGCTTTTAACTTTGATCCTTACCTCTCGTATATCGATAGTTCAATGTTTATGTGCCATGTTATTGAGGGACTGTGTTATCTTGGTGTGGTTTGGGACTTGTTTTGCTGCCATGCCCCAAGTTTGCATTTAGCATTGAAAAATAGCCAGTAACTGACGTACTAATGCAAATTCTTTGGTTCTTTCGGTAAAGTCACGTAGGTAGAAATAAAAAAAATCATTACGACGTTTTGATAGCAACACAAGCCATCGTCTTCAGGTGAAAATCGCGATTGCTGCGATGTCTGCTGCGAGCAGCACGATGTCTGCTGCCTTGTGAAGAGAAGCTGTTACCACCTAGAATTTATATACGTTTTGAGAACAAAGGTAGCCGAAGTATTGTTAATGGGGTATTATAGTGTAAAGGTAATAAATAGCGTGGCATGTTAAGGAAAATGAACTTAGATTAGCATGTTGGATAATAGTGCAAAGTTAATGAGCTTCCGTAGCGCATAAGAGCTCAGGTTAGCAAGTAGGATTAGCATATGAATTTTGATGAGAAAAGCATGTAAAAGTTAATGAAAATATTAGCATCTTAGGCGCCGTGGTGGCTAGATGTTAACTACCTCCCCCTGGTATGCAGGAGGTAGTGGCTTCGATCCCAACCCTGACGATGCCAGTTGCCTATGTGGAGTCTGCGTCTATTCTTTTCTCTCCCCATGTTGGTGTGGATTTTTCTCCGGGTCCTCTCCTTTTTCCCTCCTCATTTAGAATAACTACGCGATTAGAATATTTGGATGCTGTAATTTCCACGTGATAAGCCGCTCATTGAGTTATAATTTGTGATATTCAGGTCGATTCTGCAAAAAAGTTGTATAGCTCAGTGGGCCTTACCTGGTATAATAAAAATAATAGTTTAGTTTAACAGTTTATCATCGTCCCTCCCAGCCGAGTGGAGTCGTGCGCAGTGGAACTCGACGGAGAGATGAGCACTCAGACGGAGCATCCAGAAGGAGTAGAGAGTGAGGAGAGACGACAGGGCATCGCGAGCACTCGGACGGAACATCCAGAAGAAGCAGAGATCGAGGCAAGAGGAGAGGACGTCGCGACCACTCAGATGGAGCATCCAGAAGGAGCGGAGACAAGACCAGAGGACATCGCGAGCACTCCGACAGATCATCCAGAAGGAGTAGAGAGTGAGGAGAGACGACAGGGCATCGCGAGCACTCGGACGGAACATCCAGAAGGAGCAGAGATCGAGGCGAGAGAAGAGGACATCGCAAGCACTCAGACAGATCATCCAGAAGGAGCAGAGAGCAAAAGTCGACCTCCAGAGGAATCAGACACAGACCTCGCCCTCCATGCCAAAGGTAATATTTTCATCAAACAAAGGCGAAGTCATTGCTTGTCAGTTAAACAAGACTGCGCATCTGAAATCACGCGATGCGGTGACCGTTTTTTTTCGATGAATGGATGAACGAAGTTTGTGTGATGGTTTATGCTTCTAGACGAGATTAGCAAGGTTTTGTGATTCATTTGTGGCAATCAGGGCATGTTGCTGCTGCTGCAGTAGAAGCATGGGAGATTGTGTATTATCTCCCCCTGTTCTGCATGGGCATGTTCCGGGTTCTCCAGTTTACTCCCATGTGTAATTGGTATGGGCAAAATTTTATCACTTCTGAAAAAAATACCTGCAAATCACTCAATTGGGACCGCACTCAGCAGCAAAATCATTCCTCTACTACTGTAACTTTGCAAGACCCTCATGAAGACAGAGCCTTGCGACTCAATAAGGCTATCTTGCAGGCTAAACCAGCCTAACGATGAGAATAATCACTACCGTTTGCGCAACTCTCTTCGCTGAGTCATGGTAAACTTTTTTCCCGAGCCTCTGTGGGAGCGCACCGCACATCGCTGTCCTCCTTTATCCCCTGCAGGGCGCCATGACCTCGTGTGGCAGCGCCACCAGAAGATGCAGGTCATGTTTGAGAATGTCCTGCCTCAGGGTTACGCCATCACGCAGAGGTGCAGCCTGGATCAGGTGCGTCCTTGTGTCTGTGTCTCTATGTCTGTGTCTTTGTGTCTATGTGGCTTTCTGTCTGTGTCTGTGCATCTCTGGTGTCGGTGTGTTCTTGTGTCTGTGTGTCGGTCTTTGTACGTGTGCTATGTATACGTTGTGGGGAACGGTTGCGCAGTGGTTAACACACTGTGCTTAGAAACTAGCGACCTGAGTTCGATTCCCGCTCAGTCACCAACACCATTGACGATTATCTGAACCGGTCCTAGGTCTCTCCTAGGTCGACTCAGCTTCAAATGAGTACCTGATGTAGTGTATAAATATCCCAACTGGAGAGACAAAGGTGGTGCTGGCCACCCACCTCCTCGTGTGCCGTGCTGGCCTTCAAAGATGGTCACTAACAGCACGTGCCCTAGCAGTCTGTTAAGACTACACCGGGGATATTTGATCTTTGTCCTAGTTCGTATGTAAGTGCCCAGAAGATGACAACCAACTTTAATGAAGAAAATATCTTGCGAAACTGCCTGGCAGCTAATTGGGCCCTTCCTGCTGAAATAAATAAATCTATCAAAATAATATCGAGATTTTTACGTTTAAGATCTTACATGAATGTTGGGGTTGTTGTACTAAGCAACGCAATTCATTTAGAAGTCATCATTCCCCTACCCCGGCTGCCTGTCTCTCTTAATTGTTCAATGCATTTCCCAGATGTCCAAATATTGCCGTAAGTTGTCTGAGTGTCGTTTTCTGTGACGTTTAAACAAGTGGTGCGTTCCTCTAATGTGTGGCTTTGAGACTTTGCAAAAAGGTACCACAGCAGTAGTTATGTGATATCCCCTTCTGTTGGGCCATTCTATCTCGTGTTAGGCTTCACTGCATTACTCTGGGAGAGTTCAACTCACAGTTTTTATCTCGTGCGAGGACACAGTGCAATTTGGATAACAATTCTGGGCAGTGGAGAGGAAGTGATATCATTATTCTTGGAGGTGATGGTGGCTCCGCTGCTGCTACACATGGTTGGTGGAGATGATGTCGTGAATTTCCCTTCCAGTGGGCGTCAGAAAGGAGCCGCACCCTGGCTCGCCAGGAGAGGGTGGTACAGCAAATGTAGACTCCACCTGTTCCGTCTGTATGGGATAGAATGTAGCCCCCTCACACGCGTGAATTTTCTCCAGTTGCTCTGGTTTCCTGCCACATGTGAACCATAATTAATTGGCCGAGAACACGTTTATATACAGAAGACTGCAGAGCTTTGACAATTGTTGGTAGCACCGTCTCATGGTGTGCATTGCTGCTGCCTTCCCATATATCTATGATTCCTCCTCGTGTCTCTGAGTCGCTCCCTATGTCTCTCTTCGAAAGTGAGCAAATAACTGTGCAGTGATGACGCATTACAAATTAACATTAATATTATTAATCGGAGTAAGTTGTTGTTATTTGAACAATCGCACAAAGTGAACCTTCTGTCCCGTGGATGGGAATGGATAGGAGGAAGACGAGTTCTGGAAGAGCATGATCAGTGACTACCTCAAGCCTCTGGAGGAAGACGACGATCACAGGAAGCGCGTGAAACAGGAACTCTTCGAGATAAGAAACAAGGTACTGGCGATGCATCATCGCGAGTACTGGAGATGCTTCAATAACAGAAGAATTGCGTTACAGCGACAACGCGTTGTGCGAACACCATACGTTAAGCGAGTACTTACCGTACTTGGCATGTGGTAGAAGAAGATTAAAACGACATTGTACTACGTATGCCTTATTATTCCTACTAATGTATTGTTAATTGTTCCAATAATCCGCTAATCCTTTAACCTATATTAACAATGAAACAATGACAACAGACGTGACCATTTGGCGTCGGGAGTGGACAGTGGGGGAGGAAATTTAACGCACAAAGAGGGGGTCCCTAAACAACCCCGGGTCACCCCCCCCCCCCCCCCAGCCTTCCAATGCCATGTAAATCAGGCATGGTCTGTCTGTCCCAACGTGCAGGGCACCTTCGTCTACTTCATGATCAATGCACTGTGGCTGGTGGCGACTCTGGCACTGCAGTTCGTGGGAGCCGACCTCTACATCCACATCCCGAGCATGAAGAACGAGGGGACGGTCATCGACGTGCCACCCCTCGCCTTCATGTTCCTCATCACCTTCTCCAGCATGCTCATCATCCAGTTCCTGGCCATGCTGTACCACAGGTGAGGAGGAGGGGAGGGGGTAGACCCAAGCGTGGCCATAGGGGGTGTGTGTGCGTGTCGACTCAGTACCGTACCTGCCACTCGCTGACAGCACTTGCCTCAACAGTATCTTAAGGCTTTATGGGAAATCCTTGTCTTTTACTTTATGTGAGTGTGGGCAGTGTGCTTATGACCAGCTCCGGTTTGGCAGCTAAGGTCTCGCTCCGAAACAGTCGGGCAGCATTATCTTTTCATCGGCTGCGTAACACTGGGTGGAAGCTAGTTGGTCTGTAATTCCATACTAAGCTCCGGGTTTTCTTGGCCGCATTGATGCCCTCCCTTCTTTATTATTTCGAAAAGAATGTGGAGGCGACTAAAGGAACATCTGCACTGGATAGAAACATTCAGGCTGACCCTGTCGACAATGCATCCTGGGTTTAACCAGACTGGATTGTGTCAGGAGCTCACAGATTCTTAAAATATCTGGACACATTCTCATTGGTGAGCTTTTCTGGCAAGCGTGGCTGTGTTGGCTGGGTCATGTAGCCCCCATTCTCAGCCACCGCATGGCAAAACAATATTGTTTGGCAGAATAAAGCAGACTAAAAAGGCACGGAATGGGCTAGGGAAGAAATTAATTATACGGTTCAGGAGGATATATAGAGATGACTGGACTTGCCAATAACTTGCCAATAACTGGTTCCAGTGGTGTCAAGATCGGCCTCTATAGCGGAGGCTCCTGAAGAGATGCTACTTGGCAGTTGTGGAGGCAGTCGCCCACCAGCAATAATGGAGGGCAGAGCAGCGATGCTCACAACAATGAGCGGAGCGCCGGGCAGCTAAACACAACAGGATGGCGCAGTAGGGGGCACAGTAGGGGGTGCATCTGCCAGTTATCTCAGTCAGTCAACCATTGGCCCCTTGGGTCTGTCCCGTTACCTTCTGACATTTCGCCACCGTGGCGCCCCGTGCCCACCCCCCCCCCCTCTGCCCCCGTGCAGGTTGTTTACGCTGCTGCACGTGCTCTCCTACGTGGAGTCGTCGTCGTCGGGCCAGCAGTTAAGGAGCAGTGCTGTTGGCCGAGACAACAAAGCATTCGTAAGCGATGGAGACGACGATGATGACGCTCAGCAGTGCCGTCTCAGAGAGATTGTCTAACAGATCCCTGGACCCCCTCCTCACATGCCGCACGTGGGTCCCCTCCCTGCACACAGCACATGGACCCCTTCCACTCACGGCGCACCTGGACCCCCTTATCGCACACTACAAATGGACCCCTCCTCGCACGCTGCACGTGGACCCCCTACTCGCACGCCGTACGTGGACCCATGCACGTTGTGGTTTATCAATGACGGTGCCGTCGGTAAAGGTGCAGCTCTGCAAGATGCTTCCCTTGTTGCCACCACCGGCGGAAGGGCCTCTTGCTACACGGAGCTCTCGAGAGAGCCCGTCTCGAGTGGTGTATTTGGCCTACTCTTCCATGCTGGCCAGATGTCTTGAAAGAGGTGGGAGTTACCCACGCTTTACCCCACCACCGCACGCGATCTGCCGATCGATCAACTATGCTGTGTCCATTTACGCAGCTGGATGGACAGAGGCAGCGAGATTTAAGAAGCTTGCAGCATCGCTCCAACTGTCAGGCCTAAGGATCGACCTCTAGATCGCAAATGCGGTGACGTGTTCATTGCAGCAGGGCAGCCTCTCATTACAATAGAATGCAGTCAAGAGGGCTGCTGTACAACAACGGTGGACATCCCTTGTGATATCATCGGCTGAAGTAAATGTAGGGGCTTTGAAGCTGCTCCTGGCCACGGACAGAGAAGTCGCTTCTATGTAGCAGTGGTCAAATGAAGGAAACGTCCTGTTGTTGTTTGTATGTTGAACTTATTTTGCACTGCACTCAGCCAACCATGCCAAGGACAAGAGCAGACTGCAGCATATCATCTGCACTGCTGAGAAGGTGATTGGCTGTAATTTACCAACCCTTGAGGACCTGCACACTTTGAGGACCCTGAAGCGAGCGAGGAAGATTGCGGACGATTCCTCGCACCTGGATACTCTCTGTTCCAGCTACTCCCCTCCGGCAGAAGGCTGCGGTCCATCAAGACCAAAACCTCACTTCATAAAAACAGTTTTTTCCCATCTGCTGTTGGCCTCCTCAACAAGGCCAAGGGCTTAAAATGACTTTTACACTTAAAATGACTGTTACACTTACTATAACATTTTATCTACATAATAACACCTTTCCATACTTACAACGTGTAATCTTATTTGTATTTTTGTATTTTAAGATTGCTTAATACGGCTAATTAGCATTTTACATTCGCATTTTATAAGGTCTACTTATTCATAATTTTAAAGATTTTAGCCCTTTGGTATTACTTATACTTTGTAACGTTAGTATAGTTAGAGTGTATACCTTTTATATAAGTTAAGATTCCTACTTGTTCAATGTATGCACCGTCCCGCCATAGTGAATTCCTTGTTTGTGCAAACTTACATGGCGATTAAAACCGTTTCTGATTCTGATTCTGATGCTATCGGGGATGTAAACATCACCCACACCTAGACTGCCCCGTTAACCATAGCAGTTTATCAAATCACATTTTGTATGCCTCATTAATTTAGAGGGCAAGCAACCCACATGGAAAATCTTGCTTCTAGAAAGGTTTCTCAACCAAACAACACAGAAAACGATTCCCCGTATAGCTTTAATAGACTTATGGAGTCCCAAGTCAAACTGCATCACCGCACCAGGTTCTCATTTGAGGCTGAGTCGACCTAGGGGAGACCCATAACCGGCTCAGATAATCGCCACTATTGTTGGTGGCCATGAGTGGGAGTTGAACTAGCGTCCCAGGCTTCAAATGCTTGTGCAGGGCTAGGAAGATAAGTTTAATACCATGTTCATTGATGGACAGATATATATGCCTACATATATTTATAGATATTTATAATGGTGTTTATTTACAGAGATGAAGAGTTACATTGAGACTGTATGGATAAATAAAACAAGACACAGAAAGGAACATTCTATCAACAATGCCATCCATTCAGAGCACCACGTTCAGATAGTTTCCCCAAAATATTTTATTGGAGATGTGAATGCATTATTTTAATGTTAAGGCAATAATTCGCTGCTGATTACCGCTGAAAAGCTGTTCTCTCGCCCGGTACACAGGAGGCCATGGGTTCAATGCTGGACCCTGGCGGTGCGTTCTGTTATACTTGTGGTGGTCAGAGCTTGGGTTTTTCTCTGGGTTCCTTGGTTCAGATTATTAGGCTGCTGCTATCAATTCCCAAGTGTGGTGATATCGGCCACTGCGATCATGAGCTACCATCACGTGTGACCAGGTCGCCTATGAACAAGAGCTAAGAGCACAGTGGAGTTTAACTGGTAAATTAAACTGTGAATTCCCTTGCACCTTCTGAGGATGGTAGTGTCTTGGCCAACAGAGCACTTACCAAACGCTTAACGATCCAAACGTTTGAGGTCCACGCTTCGCTGGGCGCGTATAGTGGTTAAGCACACGCCAAGCTCTCTGTGTCTTTCTGGTGGATACGTCGTCGGGCTGGTCCCATGGTGACACGTGGAACAGCACGAAGGCGTTGGTAGTGAGTGGCTAAACGTGCACTCTTCCCCCATCCCCCCAGATGAATGTAGGTTACACTCCTCTGCTTTGTAATACATCCTACAGGCTCTTTTAGTTTACAACGTCGCGATTTATAGCTTTTGTTAAACTTGACAAGATTACGTTTAGTTCATGGCAATGAGATTAGAGTTCGTTTGTTGTAGAACATATTTGCACGATGCTATTTAAGTAAATGAACGTGTAATGTGGTAACACGGCACGTACTGATTATATACACTTTATTGCCTATTTTTTTTACTTTGCACAAATAAAGTTTACTGAACCTCTGCTGTGCCGTTATCAGTCATGGATTCTCGACTACTTGCATAGAGATAATGGCGCAGCCCTCCAATGAATCAGCCCTCCGGGCGATTGAAACAGCCTGCCACCTACAGATTGCGCAACAGCGCCCCACACGACTTACAGCGGCGTTTGAACTCGGTCGTTGGTGTAATTTGCATTGTTATCTGGAGTAAACCAACCTCCAAATCTAGATATTGCTGGGTTCACAGTTTAGCGCGCTAATCACCACTCACTTTAGCATTGCCACATCCAAATAAATAAATAATTGCGTATGCATCAACCGCTTGAAATAATGCCACATCCGTGTAGTTGTGTCTACATTTAGAGAGGCAGCCAGGTTGCTCAGAGATCAGCGGTGGACTGGTACCATTGAGAAGCTTGATTCAACCCCAGCTACCGAAACTAAACTTTTTTTTTATTTTACCAGGTAAGGCCCACTAAGCTACACAGCTTTTTTTTTAAATAAGCGTCCTGGCCACAAATAATAACTCAACGAAGTGGATCACGTGTAAATTGATTGCAGCAGCCAAATACTCTGAACGCACGTTGATTCCAAATATGGAGAACAATCCCAGCGACCACGAAGAGAGAGGCATGCAATCTCAAAATATACAACTGGCATAGAAGGCGAGGTAGTTAACATCTCCTAGTCACCGTGGTGCCTGTGACTGGTAGGGCTCTCCCGGTGTAGTTAGCTGATGGCCTCGGCTCGGTCACCAACAATTCACAGACGGATTGCTAAAAAAACTAATTAATTGGTATTGGTTCCCACGTGACCACTTGACTTGATTTGCTCTGATGGATGATGGAGAGTATATCTGAATATTGCCTTTATACCCAACCCATCTAACCCAAAGTAAACACACAGTCCTCGACTTACCAATGCCCGACTTACGAATGCCCGACTTACGAACGCCCGCTTCCATTAAATATAAAAAAAGAAAAATATTTAAAACGCGAACTCGCAATAGCAAACTGAACTACCGGCTTACGAACCGTTCGACTTTCGAACAGGTCTCAGGAACGAACTAGGTTCGTAACCCGAATACTGCCCGTAAATAACTTTTTCTCAATATGATTGTGGTCATATATAGTTACTAATTATTGTTAACATGGGGATAGTAAATTCGTGTGATGTAGGTGCTGGATGTGGTCATAGCTGGGATCCTATAATTCTCTATATTTATAGAGCGCCTTTGGTCAAGGCACGCTTTGCAAAATTTAAAAACTGTAACAAAAACAAAGTGATTTATATGCAAAGGGCAGTGCAAGGGTCGAGGAATGAGTGACCCTAACAGACGGCATGTGGCTTCATGCAAGGGATATAGGGAAGGAACGGAACAAAATTGAAGGGTGTGGGGAGGGAAGAGGAAGGGGATGCACGATGGAGAAGAGGTGAGGCCTTCAGAGAGGAACGGAAGGAGGTTATGGAGGTGGCCTGCTTCATGTTCAGGTATCTCTATATTTTCGAACGTTCGATTTTACGAAATTTCACGTTCATGCAATTGACAAATTATGGACACTTTTCGATTAACAGAATCGAATTTCCGCGTGAACGAAATTCCATACGCCACGCGCCAGATCATCAAACGAGAAACACCGTGGAGGCTGCCTCATCTGTCCACGACGGCGTCACGGCACGGTGTCCCTGCAGTGCAACAGCAACGCCTCCACATCACCTCTCCAGTCAATCCAACATTTAGCAAATCTTTTGGCGAATTCCCTGCAAAGGTACTTTTGCATTGTGAAAAGTGATATAGGTGTATATATTTTTAGATAAGGAGTAGAGTTGGAATGTCCAAAATACATCCCGATTTTTTTGACATTAAATTAATGGGAAAATTCATTTATCATATTTCCTTTTTCGCGCGTTTTATAAAGAAAGCATCGCTTTCGTAAATGGAGGAACACCAGTACATGGGAAGTTATTGCAGTGTCCCTGTTGGTGAGCGTGACGCTAGCAATGATGGTTGAGTCAGAGGCGCGACTGTGGCCCAGGGCAGACACGCAGCATCACGGACGTACGGGCGTGACAGTGGGGAACAACCGAGTCACGATTCCATTCGTATGGCGCACAGGGCTCGTTTAAAGTTTCATTCATTAGGTAGAGCCCTGTGAGCCATGCGGCTCTTGAGTCGGGTGCAACCGCAACAAACAAAATATGAACAGAGAACATCTTAAAGCGACGACGCGCAACAGAAACATCCTGGATAAACCAGTAAA